CATTTTTTAAGTGAAACAAGCCAGACACTGAAAAGAAAGAATAGAAAGGTGGTTCCCAGGGGCTGGCGCTGTAGCCTAACAGGTAAGGCCACACCACTGGTGCTTGAGTTCTGGCTGCTCCAATTCTGATCCAGCTCTCTGCTATGGCCTGGGAAAGCAGTAGATGATGGCACAAGTGTTTGGGGCCCTGCACCCATGTAGGAGACCTAGAAGAGGCTCCTGGCTCCTGGCTTCGGACTGGCTCAGCTCTGGCCGTTGTGGCCATTTGGTGGGTGAACTAGGGGATGGAAGACCTCTCTCTCTCTGCCTCTCTGTAACTCTGCCTTTCAAATAAATAAATACATCTTAAAAAAAAAAAAAAGAAAAGAAAAGAAAAGAAAAGAAAAAGACAGTTGCCAGCGGCCAGAGGTTAGGGAACATAGGAGAGATTTTAGTCAAAGGATACAAAATTTCAGTTGTCAGATTAGTAAATTCTGGAGACCTAATATACATCATGGGAACTACAGTTAATAAAATATATTACAAACATGAAATTTGCTAAGAGAGATCTCACCACTTAATAATATGATAGCCAGGTGAATTGTGAATATGTTCATTAACAGGACTGTGGTACTCACTACAATGTACACATACATAAAAGCATCACACTGCATACCTAAAATATATACAATTTTTAAAAATATTTTTATATGACAGGTACAGTTATAGACAAAGAGAGAGAGACAGAGAAAAAGGTCTTCCATCCGCTGGTTCACTCCCCAAATGGCTGCAATGGCCAAAGCTGGGTGATCGGAGGCCAGGAGCCTGGTGCTTCTTCCAGGTCTCCTACGCGGTACAGGGGCCCAAGGACGTGGGACATTCTCTACTGCTTTCCTAGGTCATATCAGAGAGCTGGATTGGAAGTGGAGCAGCTAGGACTCAAACTGGCACTCACATGGGATGCTGGCATTGCAGGGGGTGGTTTTACCCACTATACCACAAAGCCAGCCCCAAAGCTGTTTCTTAAAAAGTCTTTTAGGGGCTGGCATTGTGGCACAATGGGTTAAGCTGCCACCAGTGACACTGACATTCCATGTCAGAGTGCTGATTTGAGTACTACTACCTGGTTTCTAATCTAGCTCCCTGCTAATGCACTTGGGAAAGTAGCAGAAGATGCCTGAGTCCCTGCCCTCTTCATGCGAGACCCAGATGGAATTCCAGGCCCCTGACTTCAGCCCAGACCAGCCCTGTAGTTGTGGCCATTTGAGGACTAAACTAGCTGATACAAGATCTCTTTCCTTCTCTACAATTCTGCCTTTCACATAAATAACAAAAAATAAATCTTTAAATAAGTGAAATTTGTCTACTTATAGCATAATTTCATTAGAACACTTTTATAGTTTTTCACTTGCCTAGAATAAAATCCAAATAGTTTTTTTTTTTTTTTCTTTCTTATTTTAGAAATAGAGGGGCAGGGCGAAGAGAGAACACTCCTAACTGCTGGTTCACTCCCCAAACACCTGCAACAGTCCCTGTTCCAACTAATTTTTTTTAAATGGTTTATTTAATTATTTGAAAAGTAGAGTAAGAGAGAAAAAGAGAGTACACTTCCACGTGCTGGTTCACTTCCCAAATGGCCACAAAAGCAAAGTCTGGGCCAGGATGAAGCCAGGAGCCAGAACTCCATCCTTGTTTCCCACATGAGTGTCAGAGGCCCAAATACTTGGGCCTTCATCAGCTGGTTTCTCATGTCCATTAACAGGAAGCTGGCTAGGAAGTGGAGCAGCTAGGACTGGAACTGCCACCTCTTCATAGAAAGTTAGTGTCACAAGTGGCAGTTTAACCTATTGCACCCTAATACCAGCTCCTGCCCCAACTACTTGAGCCATCACCACTGATTGCCAGGGTCTGTATCACCAGGAAGCTAGAAGAAGGAGCAAGAGTATCAAATCCAGACACTCCAAAATGGGATGCAGGCATCTTAACCCACCTCTCCAAAAACATCTGAACCTTGCTTATGAGATATTTTGAGATTTGGACTGACTCATCTTTTAGCACTTCACTTCTTATGTTCTAGTACATTAAACAGTTCACACATGGAGTGGGCGTCACAGCACAGTGGGTTAACTGTCATTTGAGATGCTGCCCAAATTCCATACTGAAGTGCTGGTTTGAGTCTTGGCTGTTCCACTTCCCTTCCAGCTTCCTGCCAATGTGCCTATGAAGGCAGTGGATGATGGTTGAAGTACTTGGGTCTCTGCCACCCACATGGGAGATGGGATTCCTGGCTCTTGGCTTGGGCCTGACCCAGCCCCAGCTCCTGGGAGATGAACTAGCAGATGGAAGATCTCCCTCTGTCTCTGTCTGTCACTTTCAAATAAATTAATTAAAAATAATTAATTAAAAAAATTTCATGCAACCTATAGTTTCAAGACTTTCTTTCCACACTATTTCCTCTACTTAGAAAACTCTATGTGGGGGGCTGGCTCTGTGGCACAGTAGGTTAATCCTCTGCCTGCAGTCCCAGCATCCCATATGGATGCCGGTTCTAGTCCTGGCTGCTCTGCTTCCAATCCATCTCTCTGCTATGGCCTGGGAAAGCAGTGGAAGATGGCCCAAGTACTTGGGCCCCTGCACCTGTACAGGAGACTTGGAAGAAGCTCCTGGCTTTGGATTGGCCCAACTCTGGCTGTTGCAGCCATTTGGGGAGTGAACCAGCGGATAAAGACCTTTCACTCTGTGTCTCCCTCTGTCTGTATAACTCCACCTCTCAAATAAATAATTTTTTTAAAAAAGAAAACTCTTGGTGGTTAACCCTACTCATCTTTCAGGTCTCCATTTATAAACATCCCGTTCGCCAAGTGTTGTGGCACATCAGGTTAAGCCGCTGTTTGTGTGATGCTGAAATCCCATACCCCCATATTGGAGCACTGGTTTGAGTTCCAGCTATTCCACTTCCAATCCAGTTTCCTGCAAATGCACCTAAGAAAGTAGCAGATGATGGCCCAATTACTTGGACCTCAGGCATCTATGTGGGAGGCCAGGATGGAGTAGCCTGGCCCAGACCTCGCTATTGAGGCCATTTGGACAATGAACCAGAGGATGGAAATAGACACCTGTCTCTGCCTTTCAATTAAAAAACGAACATCAGGGGCGGCGCTGTGGTATAGCAGGTAACGCTGCCGCCTTCAGTGCCAGCATCCAATACAGGCACCGGTTCAAGTCCTGGCTGTTCCACTTCTGATCCAGCTCTCTGCTATAGCCTGGGAAATCAGTAGAAATTGGTTCAATTCCTTGGGCCCCGGGACCCGTGTGGGAGACCCAAAAGAAGCTCCTGGCTTTGGACCGGCACAGCTCTAGCTGTTGCAGCTATTTCGGGAGTGAACCAAAGGATGGAAGACAATTTACTCTCTCTCACTCTGCCTCTGCCTATCTGTAACTCTGCCTTTCAAATAAAACAAGGGGCTGGCACTGTGGTGCAGCGGGTTAAAGCTCTTGTCTGAGGCGCAGGCATCCTATATGGGCGCAGGTTCTAGTCCCGGCTGCTCTTCTTCCGATCCAGCTCTCTGCTATGGCCTAGGATAGCAGTGAAGCATGGCCCAAGTCCTTGGGCCCCTGCGCCCGTGTGGGAGACCTGGAAGAAGCTCCTGGCTCCTGGCTTTGGATCGGTGAAGCTCCAGTCGTCGTGGCTATCTGGGGAGTGAACAGTGGATGGAAGACCTCTCTGTCTCTACCTCTCTAACTCTTTCAAATAAATAAAATAAATCCTAAATAAATTAAAATAAACAAAACAGCAAAAACACGCACCAAAAACAAATACCCTAAACCTCTTAGCTTCCCTTGCCATGGGCTTCCAAAGCACCCTAAGTTTCCAATATTACGGCACTTATCAAACGTTACTGTAATTACTTGCTTAGCTGTCCTCTTCCCTCCTCTAACCCAGCATGTAAACTCCACAGAGGAAGCATCATTGGTCTTTTACTCAGTGCCTATTACAGTCCTGACACTGAGCAGGTACTAAGAGAAAGAACAAGTAAGCCCCTTCACAGTATGACCCCTGCCCACCAATCTGCCTTAATCCTAACAACGATCCAGCCACACCAAAGTACTCCCCAGTCCCCAGATGTTACATCTTATCTCCTGTCTCTGGGCTTTCTTGCCTGTGTTCCTTCTGCCCAGAACATGTTTTGCCTAGCTAACTCTAACATATTCTTTCCGAACTGCCTAATTTGAATTCAGTGCCCAGCCATGACACCCAACTTAATGAAATTCCAGCAGTTGTCACCACACTCACTGTACGACTGCCCAAATGTTTTTTTCTGATTTCAGGTTAAAGTGTTCACTGTTGTAGCTCCACGGACTCAACAGAGTCTAAGATATAACAGTTCTAGAAAACTTATAAACCTTTGACACAGAATCGAATTCCCTTTGTATTCCCTTCAGATGATGCAGGATTCCAGGACTCCACTCATCATCAAAGGAAACAACCAATCATTCTGATGGCAACTTTAGTAGTTTACCCAATCAAAACAAGCTCACAAAGTCTTCCTTCAGGAAGCTTTCTCCTACAGATACACAGTCCCAACTGTAACATGAGGGCCACTGTTGTCACAAACCATTCAGAACCCTACCCTTCAAAGTCTTCACTCACACTAGGGGAAAAAAAAACAACAAAACACCAGCCTGCTGGCTTCTCAACTTCAGTAGCAGAAAATGAAGCATTCGATACTTCATGAGGAACCTGAAGAATGTCCTCATTCTCTTACTTAGACCCTTCTTTACACAGGAGGGGAAGACACCTGCTAAGTGCCAACACCCGTGGCTTCAACAGGCTTGCCCCAAGTTTCCCTCGCTCCAACTGAACAGGACATTCTGTAACAGCTTTTCAGAAGCATAAAATAAATGAAGAATGCACAAAAGGAGAAATCCATAGGTCATGTTAGTTTTGCACCACAGATACGTACATTTTAAAAACAGATTTTTCTGACCACCCCATAGGAAAAAGAACCTATCACACTCACTTCTGAGTCTTCTGCACTTTCGTAATCTGAGAGAACAGCTGAAAGAAAACAGAAATGTGTGAAAAGAAAACAAAGCAATAGAAATCATAATCACATTTCCTCACTGCTTGGTGTGCGTCAAGCTAAAGTTAAATCTGACATCAACCTATGAGGGGGATACAAGGTGGTCCCCATTTACGGATGGGAAACAGGTTGTGGGTGCCTTGTCCAAGAGAGCACACGCGCACACAGACACACACACACTGCTAAACCGATGCTCCCACGCCCACTGTTACACAAGGTCGCCCCGTGGCGCCCTCCCTCAAATCCCGACCAGAATGAGACAAGTCCACTGCTGGAAACAGATGACACGAGTTTGCGTGCCACACACTCGTCAGGATGAGGTCAAAGAGTCTACTCACCATCGCCCTCGATGCCGTCTTCACTCTCCTGAAGGAAAGCAGAAGACATGGGTTAGCGCAGAGATTTCCAGAGGTGGGCAGCCCGATCAAGAAATGTAGGTGGACTCAACACAAAATGGTCGAATCGGAAGACGGGGAAAGGAAAATCTTTTAGCAAACAGCCTCGGAGGGAAGTCCGGTGTCTTCACCTCCAGCCCCAATTTCTGAATAAACATCCGCTTTGCATCCGCAGCGGCTCTGCCCTCCTCTCAGGAACCCCCAGCCCCAGCCTTGCCTCCCGCCTCCGGAGGGGATGCAAACCCGCCCTGGGCTAACTCTCGGCTCCTCCAGCAGAACACGCCCCAGCAGCCGCCGCCGACCGCCGCCGCCCCGCAGCGCCCGCCCGCGTGCACTCACACACTCCGACTCCTCGGCGCTCTGGGCCCCCCCGCTCTCCACCCGCCACAGATGAAGGGCCCCGGCCCGGCCGCCGCGCTGGGAGGGCAGAGAGCCGCTGCCGCCGCCTCCAGCGCTGCCGCTGCAGCTGCCGCCGCCCCGCGCCGGGGAACCGCCGCTGTCTGAGCCCGAAGCGCCAGATTCTTCGTCCTCCGTGTCCTGCGAAGCGCGCTGCCGCCGCCGGTCCGCCATCTTACACAGAACCGCCACCGCCGGCCAGTTCCTTACGCACCACGCCCGTCGCAGAGGCTACTGGGAGGCTCGAGCGCTGTTCCCGGCATGCTCTACGGGTCGCGCTCGGTCGCCGCGCTCTTCCAGGGGCGGAGCGGGGGCGGGGCCTGCGGCCTGCGGCACGTTTGCCGGCGAGCAGGATTACGTCGATCGGTGCCGGGAGGGGGGCGTGGCGCGGCTCCGGACTTCCCTCGGGCAGGCCCAGGGCTCGGAGAGCCGGACTCCGGCAACGTCCCGGGGTTGCCCGGCCATCTTGGGCTTTCCGGGTGGAGGGCGTCAACCTGCCACAGCTCCGCTGCAGCTTTGGGGCTGGTTCTTAGTTTTCTTTCTTCATTTCCCGTTTCTAGCTGCGTTTGAGGCAAATCATCTTACTGCCTTCGTTTGCTTGGGAAAGCCAGCGATCGAGGTGCACCTCTAAAGCGGTAGTGCCGCATCAGATTGGCCACACCAGCGCAGGTTAAGGGAAAGGGCGAAGGAGAAACTGGTTATCTGCAGTGGAGCCACAGGGCTGTGTTGCAGCATTCTCCCCGTCTTCTTCCCTCACGTATTTTCCCACCCAAGACATGGCCTCTCCCAAAGTGCAGGCTGGTAGAAAGCTAGTCTTATCAGGATTCTAGAACCGATTTAACAGGAGATAAGCAGAACCCGGTGTTGGTTTAAAGTGCTGACAAGATTTCCTTCTTGTTAAGGGTTACCAGACGGAAATGCTATGATTTTTGGCAAGGCCACTTGTCAGCAATGAAAGAAGTCAGTGTATTTTCTTTGGGCCGTAAGTAGGATATACAAGAGGCATAAGCTATTAGTGCATGTTAATAATGGATACCAGATAAAGGTCACTATGAGCACAGGATTCTGCACTGGGTCATTTTTTATAGATGCTATGGGTAAGGATCCTGATGCCTATCAGATTTATAGACAACTTGAAACTAGAATTATGAATGCCTCGGGATTGACTCAGACCCAAACAATTTCAACTGGTGGCCAAATGAGACTTGTAAGTCCCCCTCCAAAAATCAACTGCCTGAGTTCAAAATGGAGGGTGTATGTTTCCAAGAGTTAAAAAAAAAAAAAAAAAAAAATCGGGCCGGCGCCGCGGCTCACTAGGCTAATCCTCCGCCTAGCGGCGCCGGCACACAGGGTTCTAGTCCCGGTCGGGGCGCCGGATTCTGTCCCGGTTGCCCCTCTTCCAGGCCAGCTCTCTGCTGTGGCCCGGGAGTGCAGTGGAGGATGGCCCAGGTGCTTGGGCCCTGCACCCCATGGGAGACCAGGAAAAGCACCTGGCTGCTGCCATCCGATCAGCGCGGTGCGCCGGCCGCAGCGCGCCGGCCGCGGCGGCCATTGGAGGGTGAACCAACGGCAAAGGAAGACCTTTCTTACCTGTCTCTCTCTCTCTCTCACTGTCCACTCTGCCTGTCAAAAAAAAAAAAAAATACCTGCAGGCTCTTAAAACCGCAAGCTAAATAGGCACATCTAAGGCTGTCTGAATAAAGGGATAATCTGCCACTTGTCCTTCAGTTGTTTGGTCTGGGTCGATTTTTAAATGGACGTGAGTAAATTTTCTGTTCATCACAAGGGAACCAAAACTTCCTGATCCTTTATTTATTATTTTATTTATTTTGAGGTTCAATTGTTAAGATTTCTGAATATTTAACATGAAGAGAAGACCTGAGATAGCCACAGCAATCTAACAGATTGACCATGAGGAAAGAGGAATTGGTGTATTTTTCATCACCCTAGAAGACAAAGCAAAGAATCAATGGGTTCAAAGTTACAAGAAGTCAGATTTGGTCAATGAGAAAGTTCAAACATTTGAAAAATGTATAGGGAAAAACATTCTGTTGAAGTAGAAGCTGGACTTCATTTGTCTGAAATGTTGTCCAGAAATCATGTATCAAGGTTAGACTAGATGACCTTTAAGGTCTTCCCAACCGTGAGATTTTATTCATTTAGACACCAGCCACTAAGCATCCTATATTCTCTTGTTTTTAAAGTTGCCAATTACGTTTAAGGTAGGACAATAGACAAAGAGGGATGAAACACACATGTATTCATACACAAATGGAAGTAAAGGGGAAAGCAGCATGTCATCTGTTTGATTGTGGAAATGAATTTCTTTCCAATGTTTCAAATGTACAAGTAGATTTAATGTTTCCTGATAAATCTAATAAACTGAAGCAGCAGTTCAAAATTTAACAGCCACAATAGTTTATTTACAATTGAACTCTTTATAAGATATTTACAAGACAACCAATTTTACACATCAGAAATGGTATCAAAAGTATGAATTACAACACAGACAACAATATGAAATGAGCATAAAAAAAGCTTAAGTGGACAGACAAGCAATTTTTCATTTTAATTTATTAACACTAGCTTAAACTTTGTTAAAGAAACAAAGGACTATGTTTTAGGAGAATTGCAGGGCTTTCAGTTGAAGATTGAATTTCACAGTGTTGTATCCCATGTAGGGAAAAATAAGACTAATTTTCCCCTCACGCTCTAACACACTGTAATTTTGCTCTTAGAACTTTGCTCTAACCTCTTCAACAAACCTCAACATAACCAAAATCAAAGAATTGATCTAGATGAGGGAACAATAACAAGAGGGGAAGGGAGAACCAAGGAAACAGAATCCACGTAAGTCTGGCCAGATAGCACCTCATGGATTCCTCTCAGTCTAGCTCAAGTACAGTATCTGGGGAAGTCCCCTGTGTAGGATACAAACAGGTTAAATTTGCTAGCCCACAGCCAACATTAGGAATCTGAAAAATGCTTAAATCAATAAGAAACTGAGAGGGATCAAGGAACAAAGTAAAGAGACACTGATTGGGGGTATTTTTATTCTTTCTGGGCACATTATGAAGGAACATAACAACATAGGTCAGAGTAGGAAAGCTAATCGCTTGCCACATTAAAATGATGGAGAACAAAAGAAAAGTCTGGCCCAGTTTTTCTAGAAATCTCCTCCTTTAGGTGTGAGATGAGAGCCCCTAGTGGAATAAGTCCTATTTCTCTCTACATCCTTGCTGCAATAAAGTTTACAGCAGGTTCCCTTATAGAGAGCCCACTCTCCTAAGCAGATGGAGTTAACAAAATGAAAACCCATAGCCACACACACACACACACACACACACACACAGGCGCGTGCGCACACACGGAGAAATAAGAGCAGCAAGATCATCCAAGAATACTACATGTGCTGCCAGAATAATTCCTTTCAAAGTCAAACCCAGGGAGCACAGATCAGCATCTCACAAAAAGCTTAAGCAGTGGGAGGCCCCTGAGGAACTTCTCTTCCCACAACGATGTCCCATCCTCTATCATGCTCCACTCATGGGCCGGCCACACACCCTACATACCTTGGCTTCTCCTCTAAAAGTGCTAATAATCTGGGGACATATTCTCTTCAAGGATAAAAGCCCCTACCTTCTAGGAGATTAGACCCCTACTTGTTTTCACACAATAGTCCTTAAGACTAGTGAAAGGCATTTCCTATATATTTAAGACCAGAGGTCTTGGCTCTGTTTTCCTTCCAGATAGTTAACAGGGATCTTTCAGAGACCAAAGTGGCCTGGGAGTGCTGTCCTGAATTTCTTTCTTTCTTTTTTTTTTTTTTTTTTAAACAAAATGGGGGCAGGGAAGGGGGGGATCAAGATGGTACACATACAAATCTATTTTTACAAAGTGAACGGAGAAGCTCATTAGGTATATCTGTTTCAAGATATAGACATTTGCCAGCCAAAGGGCTAATATTTCCTCCCCCTCCCTAAATCTCGACCTCACCATCCAGAGCTGTAAAAACGATAAAGTCCAATTAAGGCATACTTGAGAGGTGATGTGACACAAGGACATCTATACAGGTTCTGGTACGCCATTCCCAAATGCCAACTGCTTTTGTTTAGAACCGTAACTCTTCTGGAACTAACCATTCCCATTCTATTTTCTAAAGATTTTATTTTCTGAAGGGTGGGGAAAGTACTTCAGTTACCCATTAACTAAAAAAATAATCAGAAACATCCCTTCCCACATGGGTATATCAGAGAACAGTGTCCGAGGAAAGCTAGCTTTTCAGATATTTATCTACCAACTGTCAATAATCTCCTTGCCACTCTCTGGAGATGACTTGCTTCATCACTTCAGCTGTTCTTCCTGATCTGGTCCTAAAGCTCATGGTGAGACTTTTTGTTTTATTTCAGGGTAAAAACCACTATACCCTGACTATGAGGTGGGTATACCAAGTTGAGAAGAGTGCCAAGTAGGCATGCGCCAGCGGAAGGGGTTGATTCACCTTCCACATATCTACTGAAGACGGCCTTTTTACCGCTTTAACATAGGCAAATGTAAAGAAGCAGACCCCTGAAACTTCCAAATCTGCCACAATATAGATTTAACTTGAGAGTTTACTTTCCCAAAAAGGGAAAAGAAATCCCAATCACCTTCCATAATTCACAATTAGCCCAATGAAAGTTTTAGTGGAATCAGAGTGATGAGAACAAAACCAAACTCAAGGGAGTATGGGAGGGCATTACCAGCGAATGATAACATACATGAGGACACAGGTCACATATACAGGTCTCTGCCACTCTCTGGGAATGGCATGCTACAACTATCTGAAGACAGGGTTCATTCTTGCCAGCACAGCTATTTCCTACACGTCCGGTGAGGTGTTTGCTTCTTCTGGATCTCCAACCTGCATCGGCTACGCTCATCCAACCAGGGCAGCTCAAAATTCCTGGCAAAAAAGGATGAGGAAACCAACTTGTAAGACTAAAAGGGATTCACTGAACATGATAGTATCTAAAAAAGCCACTAAGTCCCTCACCACTCCTAAATCCTGACTCCCAAGATTCCAGTTTTGAGTCTTCTCTGCCCCAAAGCCAAAACAATAGGCAGTGCTTTGGAAACAAAGTGATGGAATAATCTACTTCTAACTTAAAAAACATTCCTCCTAATTCCTAGAATGGGAATCGTATCACTGCAAAAACTAGTTACCCAGGTAGCTTCACTTCTGTCAAAGAATCAGGGTTATCTCTAAGCCACCTAGTTCCACTTAGTACCTAGGCTTCTGTGAAGTGTAAAAGGGAGGCACAGGCTACCTGAGAGGGGAGAGGAAAAAACCTCATACTTACTGTGGAGTTAATTTTGGTAATGGTCGTCCAAATGCTACAACAGGCAAGAAGGGGGTAATCATCAAACTTTCAACTATGGAAGAAAGTCAAATGGGACCTTGTTAGTTACACAATGGGAAATATCCAGTGACTATACCACTGCAGTTCATTCGTTCAGAGAAAGCTGTATTCTGGAGCCTGCATCCTTTTTCTTCTTTACAAAATCAACTCTTTGAGACAGGCAAAACTTACCATCATCTGGCTCAGGGAAAAATGAGGTAACCTCAGGCTCAGATTCCTGAATTCCTTTCTTTTTATACATTCTGAGCTGTAGTCGCTGTAAAATTCTTTGTTCCCTGATCCTCTGAATATCCCATCTAGGAAAAACAAACCAGACAAACAAAACAAACCCAACATTACTGCTTACCCAAAACCTGCCCCATAAAAGCAACTCATACAATCCAGACTCTAGGAAGATCCTTACTGACTCCTCTAGATGGGGTCATGAGAACTAACTGACTGGTTAGGGTAGAGCTGCTTAAGTCTAGCAGTCCAGATCCTGTGCAGGTGTTCCACATAAGGTGGAACCAAGGAAGGGCATATATGAAGAAAAAGAGGCCAAATGTGCATAGCTACAACAAATATCAACCAACTGGGAAACCAGTAACTTAAGACTTAAGAGCTCTGGGATTCTTGACAGCATGGAAGAAGGGAGGTTAGGTCCTAAGGGCTCGACTGTTCCCAGGATGGACATCTTTGGCCTCACCTTTTCCTCCTCTTCTCGTCCAACTCCAGTTTTGCATGCCGCTTTGAAAATACACTGTCATCCAGGTTCTGTGTGAAGAACAGCAGCTGATCAACCATTTATCACCACGTTCCACATCTACACACTGACTGCCCCCGGCTTCCAGGAACGGAAAATCTGTTCCTCTTAAGTTGAGTCTGTGAGTTCTATGGATATCATGTAAACCTCTTGGTAGCAGATTCAACAGAACACATGCTCCTTTCACCACTCACACCTTCTAAGGATCTCCAAATTTAAAATTATTTCCATAACTTTGCAAGGTAAAAGTCACATCAAACAACCAATCCTGGAGACTACTATAAACCATTCCTACCTTCTATACTTTGTAAGAGTATGAATTTAAAATAAACACACATTTTTAAGAGTCAAATGAGTTTGGAATTCAAAATTATGCTGCTTAACACATACTAACTTGTTTTCTTTTTTCTTTAATTTATTTTTTATTTATTTGAAAGGCAGTTTTACAGAGAGAGGAGGAGAGAGATGAAGATCTTTCATCCACTGGTTCACTCCCCAAGTGTCAGCAACAGCTGGGGATGGGCCAGTCAGAAGCCAGGAGACTGGAGCTTCTTCCAAGTATCCCACATGAGTGCAGGGGCCCAAGTACTTGGACCATCTGCTGCGTTCCCAGGCGCACTAGCAAGTAGCTGGATTGGAAATGGGACAGCCAGGTCTTAAACCAGAGCCCATATGGATGCCGGTGTTGCAGCCAGCGGCTTAACCTGCTATGCCACAATGCCAGCCCCATGCTAACTTTTCTACTTAGCAACAAATTTACCTATGTTTTGAGCACTACCCAGCTGTTTATTTTTGAATAATCACTTAACTACTCTGAATTTCAGAGTTTTCTTACCTGTAAAATTAAGGGGGTTGGCAGTTAGTCTACTGGTTAAGACATCCTTGTCCCATATCAGCGTACTTGGGTTTAATACCCAACTCTGCCTTCTGACTCCAGCCTCCTGCAAATGCCGACCTGACCCTGGGAACCAGCAGTAATGGCTCAAGTAGTTGGGTCCCAGCCCCTCATGGGGGACACTTGGATTGCATTCCTGGCTCCTGGTTTCAGCCCTAGCTGGAGGCTGCTGGAGGCATTTGGGGAAGTGAACCAGTAGATGGATGCGAGTGTTCACTCTCTCAAATAAGTAAGTAATAAAAAACAGTTAGACTAGATAATCTCTCACATTCCTTTCTGCCCTCAAAGTTCTATTTAACCCGTCCATAGGACTCTTAGTCCAGTTACACCCCTCCATTCTATTCAGTTTCTTATTTCCTTCCACTGACATCTCTTGGGTACCTACCTCCAAAAGGTCTGAAGGATTTGGGTCCCTTAGAGGCTCTACTGAGTGGTCCCTCCAAGAAGGAACTGGAAAAAAAAAAAAAGAACAAGAAAGGGAGGAGGGGGTGGAACCACCTTTAAATCCAAAGTCGCACAACCCTCCAACTATTCACTAGGTCAAGAGGTCTCTCCCCAGAAAGACAAAGTTACCAAGTGACAGGAATCCATTCTATGGCCTCACCTGAAGCCATATTCAGTGTCCTCGCTATGGTATTAAAGAACCTAAAATACCATTTGCAGTCTGCCAAACTCAGGATCACAAAAAACCCTAAGCCAATACCTGACAATTCATAAATGGATGCTATTGCAGTTCCTGAAAAACAACTGAAATTTGTTGTCATTTTGAAGGCTATAGGAGTGTGATCAATCATACACCAAGGAATCTCACTCTCCCACATCCAGTGGATGGGGAATGCAGCTCCCAACCATCCACCAACCCCCCAACCCCCCACCCCAGGCCCAGCCAGCATAATTCCTATTCTACTCACCAGCCAAGACTGAAGTTTCTCCTGCAACACTTGATGGCATCAGACACCCTAAATAATGCAGGAAAGAAGAATCATCTCAGTGTAAAAAGAAAAAAAGCCCATACCCAAAATGGAGGAAAGGATCATCACTGAAGTCTCACTAGGAAGCCATTTTGTTTTTTTGAGTCGTTCTTTTGAGAATTTCTCTCTGGGGGAGGGGAAGAGGGAACAACAGACAAAAGAAAAGAAAATAAGCCCACCACTTTTTTTTTTACACTGAGACGACTTCTTTTCTTCATTATTTAGGGTGGTTTCCCTGCAACAGTTGATGGCCAAGGATATCAAACCTTAAACTCAGAACATGGCAGGTGAGTAAAAGTTGACCCTATTTTTCAAATAAAAGATCAGTGTTCTCAAAACTTACATATGTAGTCTTCTTAAACAGCTCCCTCCTCCCTCCAAACAAACTACCTTGCTGGTCCAGCCTGAACAACATGCACAAAAGACTTTGGCTTCCTTAGGATAAGCCATTGAGACTTCCTCTTGAGATAGGGGCATCAAGAGTAAGGATCCACACGTTCATTCACAACTCAGGCTCCTCAAGGGGCTGGGATCTCCCCAGTCAGACTCCTTCGTACTGTTATGCCCAGAATCTTAGAGGTGTTTGGAATTTTCTGTGCTAGGGCAGACAGGGTTTTCAAAAACAGCCAGTCACACAGAACAGCTCCGGAACAAGCCATTTCCCAATCCCGGATGGGAAGTTGCTTCACGGTTTCTCTTAAGTTGTTACACAGCATTGCCATGGCAGCAAAAAGGTTAAGCATTAAGGATGAACCTGTTCAACTGACTGAACCAACAAAAAATCTGAACCTAGATCAGGATCCTGATCTATCTCATGTACCCAAGTGTGAAGCCGAACGAATGTTAGATAATTAACAGTAATCTATCTTCCCCACTTAGTTTTGTCACGAGAACAGCCAAACAAAGCCTGGAAAATGCTTATTGGAAGGGATTCCCATCCCCATCCCTGCTAGGGCAAGACATAGTGGTAGCGACTTGGGGCTGCAGCTCTATCCAAGAAGGCTTTCCCCATTAGCCCGGAGCACCCACAGTGACTGTCATAGACTACTATTACATGACGGAAGGCACACTCCAGTTACTGGTTGATGTATGAGATAGGGGAGCATCTCTGTGTGGAAGCCATAAAGAAACAAAAAGGGAATGAAGACCAAGGTCCCACACCCCAAACCCTCCCCAAGCAGCTCAGATATCCCAAGATAGTCCTTATTGTTTGAAAAATAGTTTGTAGACCATTTTATTTAAATATATGAACAACCAATGGGCTACTGCAATCCAAGTGCACTCTCCACATTTTAGAACCTGTGTGAAGTATAGGAAGATAAAGTAAGACTGTTGGTCTTTGGCAGATTCCTCCTGCCCCCCAGACCGGGACATAGAGATACAGATAAATGTTTATATAGTTAAAGAGCGGAGGCCCAGGTGATCTTCCCCACCCCAAGCTGGCTCCCCAACCAAAAATTACCATTGGCCCCTGAGAACACCCAAAGACCACCCTCCCAGGTTTCACACAGTATCAATTGCAGGAACAGTCGTGCATGGCAAAGTATAAGTTCTATGCATTTCACAGCACAGAAAACCCTTCTTTCAGAGGGCATGCAAGTTGCCGGAGATTACACACCCCCAAGTCTGGTGCTCTTGTGATGAGCAACTTACTGGCAAACACATCTCCCAGTGTTGTAAGCAGGCAAACACATTGAGCACATTTTGCTGTAATTCCATCTATTTGCAATGCCTGCACAGTGTCTGTCTCTGGCTGTTAACTTACTCATTCTTGACAGAACTCTGCTTTATTGATTGCACTTTTTAAAAAATGCCAAAGGCATTTTCACACTTGTTAGCTTGACCGCCACCACTAGGGTATAAGAGCAAGTGTTCTCTATGCCTTACTTGCTACAGTCTCCTCCTTCTTTGGAGAGGATTCCCGTAATGGTAACGGTGATGGGGGAGGCTGGTGCCAACGACACAAATACATTTCTGTGGTGGAAAGGTACGGCAAATCTTCTATCTCACTTGAGAAGGCTTTCTCCTTGGGATGGGCGCTGGGTCCCTTTTGGGGAGTGGAGAGTCTTGGTGGGGTGTCCACTGAAGACCGGGGCTTTTCTGGGGTTTCTTGGCTCCTCAATTCACGTTTACAAACAGTTTCTGATAAGGAACCACAGGGTTCCTCTTTAATGGGAGAGTGCTTAGGAGTTTTTGTTTTGACTTTTGAAAATTCAGGAGCCAGCTTTTTAACAGGAGTCTTTCTTTCTGTACTTCCAAATGGGGATTTCCTATTAGATAGGGAAGAAAACATTGTAAAACTTATTGACTCTTACATAAAATCTGATTTGAGTATATTTGGGGGCAAGAGAGATAGCTTGTTCTCTTGTCCCACAATGAATAGTATTCAGATAACCTGAAATATCTGGCACTCATTTAGAAATAGAATATGCCCTTAGTCAACATTTGTTGAACAAGTAATTTTTCATGCTTAAGAGTATCTTATAGTATTCTGCTGTCTACTGTATTTAAAGATTCCGGTTATAGTCAAGATCCTTTAGCCAACATCTGGTGCCACGACTCTGTGCCACCTATTTCATTACTGTCCACCAGAGACCAGTCTAGCTTACCTCCCACCCTTAAACCATGTTAACTACAATCTCTAGTTCCTTTTTTTTTTTTTTTTTGCTGTCTGCTGCTTTCTTCCCTGCATTTGCCCAGAACACCACCTTTCCATCCCACCAACCTAAATTCTATGCCTCTTTTTCAAGATCCCTCTCTTCCTCGAAGTTTCACAATAATCTTTAATATCCCTGAATCTTACAAAATTTCATTTACATCCATCTTGTATATCTGCATATCTCATTGCATCTGAATTCCGAGTTTTCAAAACTTTTGCCCATCCTTAGTTTGAATAATTTCTTTCAGCCGAAGAACAGTTGTATTTTCTTTGTATGTCTACTGGTGCCTACCACACTGCTTTACACCTCCTAACTTGAAGTGACCTGCTATAGTTTTAAGAAACTCAGTCACATTTGTTACCTATTCTCTTTGTGATGTACTCTGTATTCTATTATCACTACTGTGACCAAAATGTTCCTAACAGACTTCTATACAGCATGGTGGTTAAGAGAGTCTCAAGATAGTTTCTCAGTATAATAGAAGTAATTCATAATTCAGGCTATGGTCACTATAAAACCAATTCATAAATCCCAGTCCCCTACTCTCAGTCACTGGTAACAAGTGTCCAGACAGCGTAACAAAGTTATCAGCACACCTTTTGTGTCCCTTTCCACTCCGCCCACACGAGAAAGGCTTGGGAGGCAGAGTCTGGGATGTCTCGGAAAGCTCCGGCTGGCAATCCAGTTTAATTTTCTCAGATAGCTCTGTTTCCTCTCTCTCTTCAGTTTCATAGCCCTGAAACAGCTTGTGCCTTTCCTTCTCGTTATCCTTCTTTACCAGCTGCATCCGCCTTTCCATACGTTCAATCCGAGCAAGGAGCTAAAAGAGAGAATGGCAAAATGCAGGCTTAAGACACAAAAATTTAAACACAGGTACTTAGCCCCATTTAGGAATCAGTATAGTCTTCTGCCTCTTTCAGCAGATCACATCAATTCAACTTATTCTGCACAGGCAGACATTAATCTGAATAGCTTTACTTAAATGTAATGGAAAAGAAAAGGTACACTCTAACCTAGATGGCAAGGGACATTGGGGAATTTGTAGTTTGTTCTTCTGAAAGAGGATCCTCTTACTAAGAGGGGCCACAGAGTACCTTTTAATGACCAAGTCTCTTCTACTGCTAACCATGTGGGAGTTGAGAGTTTCCAAAATTAACCTTATATACTTGTACATTCTTTTGAGAGTACCTAAGGCTATCCAAATCCAATCTTCTCTACTTCTGCTCAAAAACTATACATGATGGCAAAGTCAAAAGAGTATATCAAGAAAGAATGAAGAGCTCATACAGTGCCACTAAGAATGGCAGTGTTATTTCAACGGGGTGTGTGTATGTGTGTGTGCGCAGGGAGGGGGTGTCACTTCTAAAACAATGAACATTCCATTTGAAAGAATTCTAACAGAAATCAGTGCCCACAAATCTCAACAATCATGACATATACATATCCCTTTGCATTTTAGATAACAGAAAAAGTTATACCTATTTAAATATTGATTGAAATCAAAGTTCTTTAATTCTAATTAAAAGGGAGGACTACCTAATCCAACAGAAAATGGAAGTCTATTATCATGAAAAACTTCACATTAATTTAGTTTAAAGGAAAGGTGCCAATTGTGCTACTTACACTCTATTACAAGAATTCTATCTGGGTTAGACAGTGATATTAATGCTGCCTTAATTACATCCATTACACAGATTTCAGTTGAGACCAAACAACTGGAATAAGAGAAGCAAGCTTAAGCAACACTAAGACTGCAATACACAACACAAGCAGTGGATGCCAAGTTCGGACTGACACTCTATCCTTAGTTCACCCCAGTTTTCTTGCCTAGGAAAGCCTGCAAAAGGGGGCCATTACCTCAGGAACTGAGCAGAAACCTCCACAAGCAGCAGAGACACCTCCTGTCAGCCACACTCTGAATTTCATCTCCTTACATCTGGTTTGATTCACAGCCTTAGCATTACTTAACCACGGCTCGTGGCTGACATTTCCTTGATATCTTCTGCTTCACTGGTCCTCACCCCCAACACCATGTAAGGATGTGATCTGTTGTAATTACAGTACCATCACACCCCTAGACTGCAGTACAGTAGCTAAGCAGTGCCACCTCCATGTTGAGTAACTTCCACAAATCCACCACGAGATATTTTAATAAGACCTGCCCCTGCCCCAGCTCCCAAGCCACCTTGTGGAACGCATTCTCCAATAAAACGGCCATCTGATGCGATTCATTTGGAAGGCAAACAAAAATGAATAACCCTCTGCTCCCTTGCTCAGCCCTTGGCGCACACAACGTGAGAGAGACAGAGAGAGAGAGAGAGCGAGCTGCAGCCTGAATACAATTGTAGAAACCATGTTTATTTTTAGGCAGCTGTAATGTATGCTAGCACAATAATAACCCACCGCCCCAGCTTCCCTGATATCCAAAGGAAAATGTTTTCATGCAGAGGTGCCCTTAACTACTGCTGCAGTAGAAACAAGCCTAGGGGGTCATGCTTCCCAGAAGCAGGAAGAAACAGGAAACGACCACCCTACTACCTCAAGATTCTAAAACAGGGATTTGGTGTGTGTTGGGGGGAGCGGCTATGCAACACACTTGATAAGCTTACTTTCCCCTGATGCCTTAAAAGTCTTGCAGCTTCAAACCTCAAGGCACCTGGTTATGTTCTATAACTCAGAGTCCTACTAAAAACTGTCTGAAATCCCAGGCAGCGGTTCTCAGAAGAACATTTAAGAAACACCAACTGCAGTTCCACAGAAATCACCTGTCCTCTGCCCACTACAAGGCCTACTGCCCTCCTGTCTGAAGATGCTGCAGCAGTGGTTAGGGCAGCAGCTGCGGAGCCCCTCTCCTCCACAATGCTCTTCCAACCTACCAGCTCTTTAATTTAACCCTTCCACAAAGCTACCACAGAGACACTGCACCCTTCCATTTTTAACCCCTCACAAATCAGGTCTTTTCCTACTCCATACATCCTTCCCATAAGCCTGGAGCTGTCATTTTAAATTAACCCTTTGGCCTCTGAGTCGCCCCTCCCCCTCTCCTTGGGAGCGTTGCCCTTTAACCCCTCCCTCCAACCCAACGTGTGCGTGTGAGCCTGGCTCCCAAGGACTCAGCACCTAGGACACCCCTACGCGGGTAGCCAAGCTCCTTTACCCCTAACCGAGGGGTACACCTCGGCTTCCTACAGCCCCCTTCCCCCGAGCATGCGCACAACTCGCTCCTCGTCCCGAACGCAGATTAACCCCTCCCGTACCGTGTCTCTCTCGGACTTCAGCTCCTCGATCTCCTTTTCCTTGGCCTGCAGCTGCTGCTGCTGCTGTTCGATGAGGTCCAATTGCAGGAGAAGGATCTGTTTGAGGCAGGCGGCCTGACTGGAAGCTCCCGAGCCGCCGCCACCCCCGAGAGGGCTCTTCCTCATGCTCTTCCATCTGCCCTCGCTAGCCGCCAGGGTCCCGGCGGTGGCGGTGGGTGCGAGGGGTGGCGGCCCGGGCAGAGGTAGTGGTGGGGGTCCCGCCGGGTCCGAGGCGGTGGCAGCTGGAGGAGCCGCCCCACCCTTGTCCCCAGCCCAGGGCGTAGGCTCTTTGGCCGCCGCCACGAGAGAGCCCGTCTGAATGGGCAGCACCGCCTGATACTTGGGCCGGGGGCTGCAGCCTGCTCCGGCAGCGGCTGGCTCCCCCCCAATGCCGGCTTGTTTGGTGGCCGGGGGCGGACAGGGCAAGGGCACCGAACCGCCCCAGCTCTCTTCCTGCTGCCCAGGGGCCGCCCCGGCCGGCAGTAACAAGCCCCGGCCCTTGCCGCCGCAGCCGGCCGGGGAGGGCGCGGGGCTCCCGCCCTGGGAGGAGGCCAGCGGGGGCCCCGGCTCCTTGAGCTTACGGTGCCGGGGGAGGAAGTGGGCTTCGGCCGCCCCGGGCTCGTCCTCGGGCCCGCCCAGCGCCGCAGCCCGCTCGTAGTCCAGTCGCTGCTCAGGGTTGCCGCCGGCAGGGGCCGCGGCCGCCTTGAACACTGCGGATCTCATGGTCATAGTGGTCCGGAGCAGCGCCGGGGACCGAGACGGAGGAGGGGGGTGGGGAAGGGGCGAGGTGCGGGGGGTCGAGGACGGAGGAGGGGGAGGGGAGTTTGGCGGGCTCGCCTCAGCAGCGCGGCAGCAGGCCTCCGCTAGCGCGGCTCCTCCGGGGCCCGGGCGCCATCCCGCCGGCGTGCGGAGAAGTGGAGGCCGCGGCTGAGGCCCGCCGCCGGCCCATGGGGGCCTCGCCGCCGCCTCTGCTGCCGCCGCCGCCGCCTTCGCCTCAGAGGCAGGAGCTCGCACCCAGCCGCCCCCGAGCTCATCCCCGGAGCTCGCTTCGGCCCCCCCTGGCCCGGCCGGGCCCGCCTCGTCTCCCCACCCCACACCCCCCCTTCCCCGCCCCGGCCCCCCGCCCCGGAGCTCGCCTCAGCCGCCCCGAGCCTCCATTTTTCCCCCCCCTCCTCCTTAGGAGGGGGTGGGAGGGATGGGTCCGCCCAAAGCCCTCCTACTCCGGGAGGGGGCTTCTGTCGCCTCCCCTGGGGGTCTCCGCAGCTTGGGGTCCCCCTCCCCCACAGTCACCCCTGGCGCCTCGGCGTTTCCCTTTAAAAAAACGGAGCCGCTCGGAGCCGCCACCGCCGCAGCCGCCGCCGACCGGAGAGCGCATGCGCCGCGAGGGAAGCGGGCGGGAGTGAACCGGGAGCGGAGAAGAGGGAGGCGGGCCGCACTATTGTGAAAGGGGCTGCGGCCGCCTCGAGGGGGGCAGGGAGGGGGCCAGAGGGGCCGCGGGAGCCGGGGGCCGGCGAGGGGAGGCCGGGGATGAGGGGGCGAGGACCGAGGAGCGCGCGGAGGAGCGGGGTGAAGGTGGGCTGCCGAGGGAGGGGCGAGCCGGAGAGGGTCAGGAGGGAAAAAGGGCGGCCGTGGGGAGCTGGGGAATGCGGAGGCGCCCGGGGAGAAAGCGGCGGGAGAGCAGGGAAGACGGCTTCAGGAGGCCGATGAGCCCTTCGCGGCGGCGAACCGGAGCTCCGCGGACCCGGCCTGCTCCGGACAGCCCCTTCCCGAGTGCCTGGCGACGCGCCCGGCCCGCGCCTGGCTCCCCGGACCAGTCAGGATCCAGGCTCTGAGCCTATGGGGGTTTCAGCGGGGACGGGGAGGGGCCGTAGAATTCTGAGCCCGCCACCCCTGTGCTCCCCAGCAGTCCCACACTGGTGTGGGAGAGAATGAAGTTCTTTGTCTCTGAGGGATCCGGACCAGAAACGGAGGACCTCTGGTTCCCAGAGGGGACAAATCCACGGAGTCTGCTGCCCGGGGAGTTGTTGCCACAGCCTCCTCGGGATGAGGTGGTGCCAACTACCAAGAGTTCCCTCCCGAAGGAAATCTCTGGAGGTTGGAGGGATTCCAGGCTTTGCAGGGAGCAGAAATACTTAAGGGTATCCTCCGTGGCGCGTTTCCGCCTGTTGCTCCGTGTTCATTCCACTTCCAAGCCACTGTAGCCAACAAGTGCTCACAGAGTTCCTCGCGGAGGAACTTCAAAAATAGTCTTAATTGCTTGTTTTTCTCTTCTGTCCAAAGTGTGTTTAAAGCTTAAGTGGAGATGGAGAAGACCAACATTCTGTGGCCTGATGTGAAAACTTCTCATTAAAACTGTGTCTCTGCCTTGAACAAATGGGTGTGAATGTGTTCAGAAGCCAAGACAGCACCAGCCCGCTTCCATCAGACTGTATGGCCTCAGATCTGCAAGGGAAGTATCTGGTTTAGAGATACCGAAGAATGGTGCGGTGGGAGGCTGGTAGAATATGGCCACCTCTTTCAGTGTCTAGACTTTCTGTGCCATCTGCATGTTGCCAGCTCTCAAATTACCTTATTATAAGCCATAATCATTTCTCACTTATTTTTTAAAGATTTATTTATTTGGAATGTGGAGTTGGGGCCGGCACTGTGGCATAGCAGGTAAAGCCACCGCCTGCTGTGCTGGCATCCCATACTGGCACCAGTGGCTCCCCGACACAGCTCTCTGCTATGGCCTGGGAAAGCAGTAGAAGATGGCCCAAGTGCTTGGGCCCCCGTACCCATGTGGGAGACCCGGAAGAAGCTCCTGGCTCCTGGCTTTGGATCAGCCCAGCTCTGCCCATTGCAGCCACCTGGGGAGTGAACCAGCGGATAGATCTCTGTGTTTGCCTCTGCTTCTCTTTAATTCTGCCTTTCAGACAAATAAATAAATCTTAAAAAAAAAAAAAAAAAAAAAAGAATTACAAAGGCAGAAGCAGAGGGAGAGAGAGAGATCCTCCATCCACTGGTTCACTACCCAAATGGCGGCAATGGGCGGAGCTGGGCTGATCCAAAGCCAGGAGCCAGAAGCTTCTTCCGGGTCTCCCACGTGGGTGCAGGGGCCCAAACACTTGGGCCATCTTCTGCTTTTCCAGGCCATAGCAGAGAGCTGTGTCGAAAGTGGAGCCGCTGGGACAAACCATATGGAATGCTGGCACAGCAGGCGGCAGCCTTACCCTCTATGCCATAGCACTGGCCCTTTTTTTTTTTTAATTGGTCTCAGTTTCAACCTTTGTCTTCTACTTAAGTCTGCTGTCAGCAACCATACAGATCCTGGTGAGATATGTATGGGATCATGTTCTTTGCTCAAAACTCTTTCCTGGCTTTCCCTCTTAGTTGGAGTAAAAGCAAAGTCCTCTATTTTTTTTTTCTTTAATAAAGATTTATTTTATTTATTTGAAAACAGAGGAAGGAAGGTCTTCCATCTGCTGGTTCACTCCTCCAAATGGCTGCGAAGGCCAGAGCTGGGCCAGGCTGAAGCCAGGAGCTTCTTCCGGATCTCCCACAAGGGTACAGGGGCCCAAGGACTTGGGCCAATCCTCTGCTGCTTTCCCAGGTGCATTAGCAAGGAGCTGGATCGGAAGTGGAACAGTTGGGACTCAAACCCTTGCTCATATGGGATGCCAGTGCTGCAGGTAGTGGCTTAACCTAGGCCACAGCACCAGCCCCAAAGCAAAATCATCTTGATGACCTGTAGGATTTGGCCCCCTGGCATTGCTGTGACTTCAGTCCTTCCTGCTGTCCTGTGCACTCCTCCCAGACCATATGCTCTTCTGTGCTGTCTGTCACACACACAGAATGTCTGTCTGCTCAGGTCCTTCCACTTGCGGTACCCTCTACCTGGATCACTTTTCCTTCAAATATCCGCCCAACTTTCCTCACTCCTGAAAGCTCTTTTCTATGTGTCATCTTTTCAGTGCTACTATCTCTGGCGATCCAGTGTACGCTCACAACCCTTTCCAAACTCTCCGCCTTTTTGGCTTTCTCTCTCTGGGGTACTCACTGCTGTCTCACAGGAATTCACCTTGTTTATCGTCTTCCCCTGCTAGCTAGCGTCGTACTTTGTTCACTACTGTGTCCTCAGCATCTGAAACCACGTATGTGGCACAAAGCAGGCATTTAATAAGTATCCCTGATTGAAAGAGTGAGCTGTTCAGGTATATTTAAAAAAAAAAAAAAGTATCTACCCTTGACCTTTAACTTGGTAGAGCATGGCAGTCATGTAACATTAATATATATTACAAAAAAAAAAAAAAAATACCAGGGGTTAGTGTTGTTTCTTAGCAGGTTAAGCTGGCATTTGGGAAGTGAACCCGCAGGTAGGACCTTGCCCTTATAAATATGTGGAAAATATAGGGGATAAGGCAGGTAAAGTGGGTTGGAGCCAGGTTATGAAGGTCTGATTCCCATTTAAGAAGTGTGTAATTTATCAGCCACAGTGATTTAAAAAAAAGGGTTTCCAGCAAAGCATGTTACAGTTAGATTTTGTTGGTCTGAAAGCTGACTTCAGTGTTTGTGTCTCTGCACCAAAACAGGAGGCTGTTGGTCCAGGTGTGAAATGATGTTTGATTAGTCTAATGTACTAGTGACGTATGGATATAAAGAACGACAGGAGACTCCAGCAAAGGCGCTGGTGTGAAACTGCAACAGCAATCACAGTCCCACTACTTTGTTATTTCTCTACCTCAGTTTCTCATCCGTGTATGACTGTAATAACTTAGCTCAAAGGGTTACTGTGAGAATTAAATGAGATAATTGGAAAGTATTTGTCATGGATGGTGAGGCAGCTGGTAATGCTTGATAATGTAGTTATCATCTTATTAATTGGCAAGATTTGTTGATCAGTGTGGGGGTTGAGGAGTGAGCACTGTGGTGCAGTGGGTTAAGCCGCCACTTGGGATGTCCGCATATATACCAGAGTGCCTGGTTTGAGTCCTGGCTGCTCCATGCTTCTGATCCAGCTTCCTGGGAAGTGGCAGATGACAGCCCAGGTATTCAGGTTCCTGCCACCCACATGCGAGACCCAAATGGAGTTCCTGGCTCATGGCCTCAGCCTGGCCTAACTCTGGCTGTTGCAGAGTGAACCAGTAGATGGAAGATCAGCTCTTTCCCTCTGTCACTCTGTCTTTAAATAAATCTTAATAAAAATTAAAAAAAAAAAAAAAAAGATTCCTGAGGCTGGACAGATGGCAATTCTGTTCACCAGTTGTTCATTTTCTTCTCTAGCGTCCTAGACCTGCATCAGTATCACCTGGAAACTTGTTAGATACGCAGAGTATCAAGCCACATCTTAGACCTAAGGAAGCAGAAACCCTGGGGTGGGGCTCAGCACGCCCTGTTTTTCAAACAAGCCTTGATTTACCAAGCTCTGAGGTGATTCCGGTCCCCTCAAGTTTGATAACCAGGGCTACAAGAGGTTGATCACCCTGTTCCTAAAGGGCCAGATAGTGACTCTCTTAGGCTTTTAAGAATTTTTTTAATATGTATGTATTCATTTTCATTTATTAGAAAGAGAAACAGGTAGACCTAGGTTTTCTACCTGCTGGCTGACTCCCCAAATGCCTGCAACAGCTGGCACGAGGTCAGGCTGAAGCCTGGAGGGGATCTTTGGGTCTCCCATGTGGGTGGCAGTCACTCAAGTACTTGAGCCTTCACCTGCTTCCTCACAGGGTGTGCAGCAGGTAGAAAGTGGAAGTGAGGGGCGGGCGCTGTGGTGTAGCAGGTAAAGCCACTGCCTACAGTGCCAGCATCCCATATGGGCACCAGTTCAAGTCCCAGCTACTTCCCACCCAGCAGTGGAGGATAGCCAAGTCCTTGGGCCCCTGCACTCGTGTAGGAGACCCAGAAGAAGCTCCTGGTCCCTGGCAACGAATCGGCGAAGCTCCAGCCATTGCAGCCAGTTGGGGAGTGAACCAGTGAATGGAAGACCTCTCTCTGCCTCTCCTCTCTCTGTGTAACTCTGACTTTCCAAAAGAAAGAAAGAAAGAAAAGTGGAAGTGAGTTAAGACTCAAACCCAGTCACTCCAATACAGGAATGCGGGTAGGATAACCAAGAGGCATCT